CCCTCTCTCTATTCCCCATCTCTCTCTGTATTGCTCTGTGCAGCCTGTCTTTCCTGCTTCTCTGCTATCTCTCCACCGGTGATGGCATCAGTCTTTCTGGTGAGCCACTTTGTGAGGTGTGTGTGTGAGTGTGTGTGTGTGTGTGTGGGGGGGGGGGGTCCTTTTTATACCAATATCAGTGTAATAGTTGATTCACGATGTATCACGACTCTTTAATGATAAATGGCAACATCATTCTGCCCCCCCCTCCCCTCAGTGTGTTTGGGCGCTACTATTCTGAGTTAGCGTCATAGTAGACCTACAGTGTTCCCAGACACTTCAATGTCTGAATCAATGTTCATCTCCATAAATTATTGTCGACAGCGGGTCAATCATATAAACCCCATGTCCCCTCCTCCTCCCACCCCTTTCCCACTCTAATGTAGAGAACGGACTACCATCTGTGACAATCCCTGGAGCCCTGAATGACGACCTTTGGTTCAACGTGACGCTCGGCCAACCTCTGACCCTCACGCTCAACGGCTCCGACCCGGACGGTGATCTGCTGGGCTTTCGCTTGATGGGAGACCACCCTGACGTTATGGTGGACAACGCAACAGGAAAGGTGACGTTTCCAGCAGATTTTGACTACGCCAACGTCAGCACTGTCGGGTGAGATGTTTTTCTTTTATTAGTAGAGGTTTTACTTTTACGGCACTCGAAACTGCATAAGGTCACATGAGGGCTAAGGGGTGGATGTTGCATAAGGTCACATGAGCGCCACGAGGTGGGTGTCAACAGAGAAGTCCTTACAGAGAATCAGATCAGACTTACTCTGCCCACCTCTCTAGCTTCAACAGCACAAAGTCTGCTTCGACTATCAAGGCACCCCGGAAATAGCGGGTCACAAGAGTGTGACAAACATACAAAAAAGTAGAGGAAAAATGATGATAGTAAGGATTAGGAAAGAAAAAGCAGCAGTTCCCTGTTGCGGGTCAGGCAAAGTTATGAGCATGACATTGATGAATCAGCCCATTTACATTGTAATTTACAATTACAATTCTACTGTGCATAAGAACTCGAGATGTTAATGTCCCCCCTTTGGGAATGGCCTAAAGACACTTCAGTCAGTAGCACCGTCGCGGGGGTACGGGTGAGACGAGACAGTCGAAGGCTGTGACAACGTTCCCGCTACTTCTCTCCTTTTGACAGGAAGGGTCGAAGCAGCCCGCTTCTTAAATAAGCTAAATTTATTGTGGCGTTGGGGGTTTTAACATCTTCGAATACAAATAATGCGGAACTGTATTTTGTTTCATTTCAGTATTTATATTTGTATCTTTCATCTATATTTTTGTCATTATTGATTTATTATGGTAATTATTTTTGCTGCCTTATCCAACATTTTTGTATGGAGTGGGAGGAAGGGAAAAAGGGGCGGTAGGTGGGGTGGCGGGCTGAACTCTATAGCATGATAACCGCCGAGAGCTACCTGTTTTCCTAAAATTTCAGTATTTCAGATGCTATGATAATTATCTTATTTGTATGTGAAAGTCAAAGATAACATGGATTTTTTTTTTAATGTGGGTGTATTTACACAGTTTAGATGATTTGGGAGACGAATTTCTGACATGTCTGCCAGTGCTGAGAGGGATACAACATCTTAGCAGAAAGACTGAGATACACAATAAGCATATTTTCTCCCCACTTAATAATTGAGCTCTGGTCTCCTGCTTGCAACAGAGAAGCGCCTACCTTCCCACCACAGACGTCGGTGACAAAAGAACGTTAAACGTGAATAGAGTGAGATTTTAACACCAAGAAGAAACAGAGAAAGGATAGGAATAACAATGTTTCAATCCAATTATTTCTAGTATGCAATTATTATTCCCCCTTTAGCTGTCGTCTCCAGCTCGAACTCCACCTCTTAGGCTTGTGTTTTTGAAAGTATACACATCATGATATAGATTGCTAAAAACTATCGCTCATATGAAATGAGATACAAAACCGAGATGAAAATAATTTGCTTGTTTAAAAAAATAAATTTGTCCTAATGAATATCTTCCTGAACAGTTCGTTTTTTTGGGGGTGGGGGTAAGGCGGGGTGGGGGTGGAGGTTGATTTAAGATGAATGTATCCAATTGGTTAGTGTAAAATTGTCCTATGAAAGCTCCATCTTAATCTCAGCACCAGACGTCTCTTAAACAGACAAAGCAACTTAAATATTATTATCTCCCGCTTGTCTTGAGTGATGTGGTTTGCATCTTCTTTCATGTCAAACATCTACTGTTCTCTTCTCTCCTCCTACTTCTTTTTGTATGTTATTTCCAAGTAACACCTCTAATCTTCAGTACTTATTGGCCTATTTGTGTTGCAAGTATCGTAAAACTCTTTTCAAAACTAAACTAAAGAAAAGGTCTTGGTTCAGTAGGCTTGGGACAGATCCACTGCCCCCTCTGATTAGCAGTCCCCCCTTCCTGCTTAATTGCCCTGTTTGGCATCATTAATTAATTTCAGGATTCTCAAATACACTTATGTCAAATTCTATCCATATCTAGGTTGTTTAGCCAGACGAATAAACTTTATATCTTCTTCCCCCCTCCCCTCCCCCACCATCTGCCCCCACCCTCTTTCTCTTCTTCTCTTTGCCTC